CACACACACACACACACACACACACACACACACACACACACACACACACACACACACACACACATACAAACACACACACACACACACATACACACACACACATACAAACACACACACAAACTTTGACACCCCCCACCCCCCACCCCCCCAGGCAAGGGGTACGTCCACGAGGACCTGGAGTGCTCCCACTACATGAAGAACTACGACGTCGGCCACGTGCCCCTCAGGCTTCCCGCCGCGAAGAAGCTGCTCGCCACCATCGACCGCCACTTCGGGACGCTCGCCTTCTGCAGGTGCGCGCGGGGGCGCTCTCTCGGCGCGTCGACCGCGCGCGCGCCCGCATGTTTGCTTTGTGTTGTGGGCCCTCCGACGGGGTTGTGGGTGAGGGATCGAAGCGCGGCGGCAGGCTACGTGTTTTCGTACAGCGCCTGACCGCTCGGCGGACAGCCGGCAAACAGCCCCGGCGCCCTTCACAGTCCACTATTGGAGCCGCCGCGCACTAGTCAGGCGCACCCCCGTTCGAAACAGATCCCACGGCCGGCTTGCCACACACAGCCCGACCACACCTATCCTCACCATTGCGTCCCCTGCCCCCCCGATTCGAATTCAAACGTGCCCGCCAAAAGGCGCTACCTGGACCGCCTGGGCGAGTCCAAGTACCTCATGGCCCTCAAGAACCTCTGTGACGCGGGTGAGCCCGGTGACGGTCGATGACGTCACATCACGGCCCCCTACCCCCCCCCCCTGCTTGGCCGCGCGCAGACAGGGCGGCTCGCCAGGGCCGCTCGCCGGGGCTGCTCATCGTCGCTGCGGGTTTTGGGCCCGCATCACCTCCCTCCTTTGCCTCGCCCACTGCCCCCCATCATCCGCCTTCCCCTCTGCATGGCCTTACTTGCAACCCCGCCGCGCCCCAACCCATCCCCCCATCATCAGGCGTGGTGGACCCGTACCCGCCGCTGTGCGACACCAGGGGCAGCTACGTGGCGCAATACGAGCACACCATCTACCTGGGGGCCACCAAGAAGGAGGTCATTTCGCGCGGCGACGACTACTGAGAACAGAGAGAGGCCGGGAGGGCGGCGATGACGCTCCATGACGTCACCAAGCGAGAGGGGCTCGGCTTTCGAGCGTGCTCGATCGTGGCTTGGTACATATTTTGATTGCCCGCATCTTGCTTTGCCCTGCTGACGGGCGCAACAGGCCAGAGGTCTTCCGGCTGTCAGCCGGAGGCCGCACTTGCACGTGCACCCGGCCACGTGATGTGTTGAGATGTACATACCCTTGGTGTGAGCGGCAGTTTCACGGCAACTTCCGGAGCGCAAACTCTGGGCGGCTGCGAGCTCCAGGATTCCAGACGGCCACGGTCGCGCGAGGCCGCAGCGCGCAGGCGGCTCCGAGTAACGCACCGCCATGCAATGGGGCTGACGCGGGCTGAGGGTTGGTAGGCGAGGCACAGCATGGAGTTTTGCAGGGAAGGGCAGCTGCATCAGCAGCACCTCAGTGTTGATCGACTCAACGCGTTTACATCCGCACATAAGTGCGTAAGCGCATTTTTCGGCGTTAGAGTGCAATCGCATACTGCCGTCGAGCGCCGGCTGATCGACAGTGCAGGCTGGTGAGCAGGAAAAGCTCTGCGAAAAAAAAACGACAAAGCTTGGCGGGTGAGGGGCCGGCACAAGGAGTGTCGGGGCGGGGGTGGCCCACGGCGTGTCTGAGCGTCGCTTTATCAGTGGTGACGAATGTTGCGTGCGATGCTGGGGCGCGGTGCATTATGCGGCAGAACGGAGGCTGAGAAATGCTGTTGGGGGCAGGCCGAGCCGGCCGGGCCTGGGGCGTAAACGAAGGTGGCGTCAGTGCGTTGGTGGTGTGGCGGCGCATTCAATGGTCGGGGTCGCCCGCGCGCGGCGCCAAGCGTGCAACACGACCTCACGACCCGCCGCAGTGCGGCAAACAAATGACGAATTATAAAGGGCGTCCCGGGGGTGGCCTGCCAGCTGGCGTTGTCGAGGCCGCCACCGCGAGGCGAGCGGCCGACGGGCGCAAGCCCACCCAGCGGCTCAGCCGCGTTTGCCCGGACCGAGGTGGGGGCCTCTGAAATATGTGTGCCGCGCCCCTGGCTAATTGGTGCCGCAAAGCGCGCCGCCTCAGCTGCCTTCTGCATGCATGGGCCAACCAGCGCCAGGCGTGTGCACAACGTACGCGTGCCGCTCCAGCTGTCTGGGCGAGCAGTGTGGTCCCAAAGCAACCAAGCGAGCGATAAAGTGCATGCATTGCAATTCCGCAAGCAGCGGTCGTAGCGTGGTCAAATTGCGCAGGCGTGGGGTGCGCCAGTGCCAGAGGTGTCAACGGGGTCCAGCTCGCAGGGGAGCAGGGCGGCAAGCCAGCTGCAGCCCCCTGCTGCATGATTATGAGTGTATTCGACAATCGTGCCTCGCTCCGCCTGGTTTGTTAATGGTGTGTGCCCAGAAGGTACGTGAGAGTGAAAGCAAGCAGGTGTGTGGGCGTGTGCATTAGTGTGAGTGGGTGCATAAAAAGTGCTCTCACGCATGATCCGGAGGAAACTGTTGTGGGTTGATGCCGCCTGCAATGCGCGCAGGCGACTCACAGCACGCGGCAAGAGCGCCGCTCATGGGCGAGGCACCGGACAATTGCAGTAGGTAAGAGGCGCGCGCTGCGGGCATGGCGGCGCTGGCCGCAGCGTAACGCTGTGCCAGACAGGATGAACAGTTTTGGTTGTGTAATGGTTGGAAGCAGACATGTAGCGGCCCGGCCAAGCACGTGCGCACCCGCTTGGCTGTGACGGGTGCGGGCCAGCAGCCGGCCGGGCCGCCGGCGCCCACCGGGGGTTTGTGGAGAGGGCAAGGGTTCCTGGTCCCAATTGTTGTCGCGGCCCGTGCAAAGACAGCACGAGCCGGTTGAGCCATGACTTCTGAAAAGTCGGCAATGGCGCCAGAATTCGACCGATTTGGGGTTTGACGGGCACCGTGCACCCAGAAACCCACGACCGGCCGTCAAAGGGGCCCCGATCCCGCCGCATTCAAGGCCGCAGTGAGCGGCGCGCCAGACAGTCCAAGCCAGGGTAGCTCCCCCCAAAGCCGCGAGGCCGCGGCTTTGCCCGGGAGCTGAGCTGCCCGCGGCCCCTGCATCGCCCAAAAAGTGCAGAACAGGGCAGAGCGAGGCCGCCGGCGGCCCTCGGGCGGGCGGTTTCCAAACAGCGAGTAGAGTCCACTGCAGCCCAAACGAGGGACGCTCTATTGGTGTTTGAGCACAGAGGCTGTGAGAGCGCGGGGTCCCATTCGTACTGGGGCTGATATTCATGATCAAGGAAGATGCAGAGCCGTTCAGGATGCACGCAGCGAAGTCGTGGTGCGGCGCGTTGGCTGTGCCGGAACGCCGCGCCGGGACGCCCGCCCGCAACGCAGGCGGGGGCGCCTGTGCAGGGGCAGGGCTGGTTGACCCTGGCATCAAAGCTTCCCACCTTCAAACTCGGCCGCTTAGACCCATCGCTTCAACCGCCACCGTCCCCCAGGTTCCCAGGAGCGTGGCAAACCCTGACTCGCCTCTCGGAATCGACAACACCAGTGGCGAGAGCCGGCCAGCGCAGGCGCGTGCCGTCATTGATACGGGCAAACGCACTAGAGCGACAATCGACAAGTTTGTGTCGATGAAGGGGGTTCGGGCCAGGCAGGGGGCGGCGCGCGACGTGCAGCGCTGTTGAACAAATCCTGATCCAAGGAATGTGCCGAAATTTGGATGTCCAGGAAGCAATCTAGTGTTGTTTGGGGTTGACCATGCGGCGCGACCGCTGGGGTGCAGGCGCCCAGATCGGCGACCGGTGATAAGTGCGAGCCTGGGGGCCTGGCCGGCAAGGCTCGATCGTCGCTAGCCACACGCGACGACGAGCATTGAAAGGGGTCTACAAGACCCCGCCTGGTGGCCGGCCGGTGGCACGGCCGGTCGGCGATGCTGCGGGTGAAGCCGCATCAGCCAGGGGCGGTTCGGCCGCCAGGCCAGGGGCGGCCGCGGCGGTGCAGGGCTCACGCCCCGTCACGCCCAGGACCGGCCGTCGGGC